TTGTGTTCTTGTCCTTTTTTGCGGTGGCCGCGCGCATGCCTCCTGCACGCGCTTTGGGCCAACTCCTTTGTCTGCAGCTGTCCCGCGAGCTGTAAATACTTTGTAATTAGTACCAGACATCCTCATATGGGGAAAAGCATATCCTAAAGAAGGTTATATAGGGGATTGTAAAAGGGAGTATTGTAGGGGTTATTCAGAGGGATACTAGGTAGAATACTACGCGCATGTGCTTGAAGCCACACTTAGGTGTTCTTGGCAAGCACAGCACCGTCTCCTAAAGCATCCAAATCCGAGGCTTCCTCAACCCACAGGCTTGACAGGGTTTAGGGTTTAGGGTGATGGCGTCAGGAACCAAGGCCATGATCTAAGTGGGGTTTTAGGGGTTTATGGTTTAGGGTCTAAGGGTTTAAGGGTTGTAGGGTTCCCTAAACTAATCCCATCCTAAACTGTAAAACCCATCCTGTAAGCCCTCAACTGTTAAGCTCTAATGAACTACATGTCTAGATCCACGCATACACACATGAGCTACAGTCTGAACTCCCAGCATCCCCTTGATCAGCCCCATAATAGGAAGCCAATGTAATCCCTATATGACCCACTATAAGAAGTTTAGAGTATAGCTCCTAGTACATCCCTAGAATCGTCAAGAAACTGGGTTGCTGTTAAGGAACTTAAATTAAGTTACTATATTGGGGAAACCCTATTATTTACCATATATACCCATTATGGTAACTTAATTTAAGTTCCTAAACCCTAAACCCATTATGGTAACTTAATTTAAGTTCCTTAACAGCAACCCAGTGAATGTCAGAAACGCTATCGCAGGAAGCCGGGACCCAAACATTCGGGCTCGCTGGCTTCAGACTCCATAAGGCCTTAACCCTGAACCCTAGATCAAAGACCCTAAGCCCTGGAATTTCAGACCCTGACCCCTAAATCCAGCATCTGAATCCTAAAACCTGAAACCCTAAATCCTAAAACCTGAAACCCTAAGACCCCAAATCCTAAAACCTGAAACCCTAAGACCCCAAATCCTAAAAGCCTAAACCCGAAAAACCTGAAACCCTAAATCCTAGCAAACCTAAAGAAGAGGTGCCGGCTTCCGAGGTCGCCCCATGGCCCCGGGGAAAATCAGGCCGCTGGCACGGTGAGCGACATGGGGCTGGCGGCCCTTCTGAGATGATTTAGGGACAGTTTAGAGTGTAGGGCTTAGGGTAGTTTAGGGGTTCCAGTTGCATGTGACAACAGAGTGGTGGGGGTTTGGGCGGTTCAATTCCTGATGTTTTTCCCGACGTGAACGCTTCAAAGATTGAAAGGTGGAGCTGGGTGGGTTCGGGCTAGTGCTTCGTGTGGGAGGTGCTTCTGCAGAGTTTTGGTTGCGTCCGGTGGCCGCAAGAGGGTACTGAAAACATGCGCAAGTGGCATTTAGATTAGACTGTGCATGCGCCAGGGTTAGGGCTTCGGTGCGAGGTGTTCGGCTTAAGGGCTATATATAAGGCACACGAAAGCTTCATATAGCCCGCGTGGCTCATGACTGTCTACACTGCAGATCTGGCAGCCAGAAAAATTGCGGCGGAAAGCACATGAGCCTGAACTCCAGCCAACCCTCAAGCTTCCTGGCCCAAACCACCAAACCACCAAATCGCTAAACCGGGGAGCGCCTGCTAAGTTGCATGCCGCCATCCACTAAGGGCTCAAGATAGAGGCTACATGATTGGCAAAGGGCTTCAGGGTATGTGTAGGTAAGTCCTAATAGAGCTAGACACGTTAAGGGAGGCCAGAATGAATGCTCACCTTTTTCTTCACAGCTACCTTACTCAAAGGCGCCCTTTCTATGCAGCAGAATCATGTTGCTTCTGGCGCGTTGAGAACGACACATCACAAGATATCCACCCGCTTTATGTCCCATGCCCTTGTCAAATTTACACCCACAGGATTTTCTTACTCTCTACTGCTTCTGACTACGGCAAGCTGCTTCTCGGCACGACTCCTACCTGATACTTGGATTGCTCTCGCGTCTAGTACCCGTCCAGAGCAGTAAAGCTAATGTTAAAATGTACAGGGAAGCCTGATCATGCAACGCTATCGGGATCCATTCCAGAAATGCTGGCACAAAAAGCCGTACGCATTTACATCTGGAAGCTTCAAGTGAATCCCTTCTTGAAGCCAAGTGAGACACCTCAAGGTCAGAGGACCGCAGTCCTCAAACATCCTAAACCCTGTGTGCAACAATCTGAAACTTCCAGCAGCCAGCAGACCCTGAAGACTTACGCTCCCTACCGAATCTCTGCCTACTTCTTGTTCAGTCTCTAACCCCTCAAACCAAATCCTGCACCCTAAGCCCATCAACCAGGAACCCTCAACCCCAAAGAGCCAGACCCAGCACCCTACACGACTGCAACCCTGAACTAGTTCAACACATTGGAATCAGGCCCCCCGCCGCCAACCATCCCTTGTTTGCTATATCAGCAGCTGTAGGGTACCCACCATGAGCTCTCGTCAGTGTAATGGGGCCTGATCTAAACAACACCTGAAGCTCACGGATCCGCGTCTTAGCTGTATTTTGGTTTTGACTACTATTCTCCCCAGGGTCTGAAACTGCCCTAATGACAAGAGTCGAAGGAATCCGAACCCTTTCCAAACCCTGAAACGTTGATTCCAAAAACAACCGCTCAACCCAAAAAAACCTTATAATCCTTGACCTAAACCCTACAATCCCCGTTATCCCTACAAAACCATAATCCCTGCAAACCCTTACCCCTACAGACCCTGGCTCCAAAGCCTCCATCATCCCTATTTCGCAGAATCCGTAAACCCCCTTCCCCAACAAAACAAATCCTAATCCTTCTGCATCCCTGAACCCTGAACCCTAGTCCATAAACCCTAAAACCGAAACCCTAAAGCATGAACCCTGAACCCTAATCCCTGCACCCTCAACCCTAATCCCTGAACCCTAAAACCCTAAAACCCTAAACCCCTAAAACGCTGAAACCCTGGACCCTAAAACCCTAAACCCTTATAGTCCCTTAATCTTCAGCGGAGGGTTGACCAGTCCTCGCAGAAGGCCTCCAGCTGCACGCCGACGAATTGCTGGCAAAGCTCCGGTCCCAGGGCCTGGCAAAAGGCCTTCCTTCACAATTTAGGGTTCAGGGATTAGGGTTGGGTTTAGGGTTTAGGGTTTACGGTTTAGGGTTTAGGGGTTAGGGTTTACGGTTTAGGGTTTAGGGTTAAAGGTTTAAGTTTTAAGGTGTAGGGTTTAATGTGTAGGGTTTAGGGTAAAGAAGAGTGATCCTAAAGGGAGCCCTCAAGGTAGCAATAAGCAGAATGAGTATCTAACAATAGCAGGCTTTCAAAGGTAACAAGAGTAGCCCTAAATGTAGTAATAATAGTTTAAGAGGAATAAGAATAAAAGAACATAGCAATAGTACTCGTGTTGATACTAATACTACTGATGACGACGCAGAGATAAGAAAATACGAACAATGGCTGTAAAAACTTCAGGGTTAACCTTCGCTGTTGGTCGCTTTCGAATTGCATGTGTATGGCTTAGGAAAGTTCCGGGTGTAGCGCGTTGAGGGTTTGGTGTCGGGATTTCAGGACGTGCAGTTGATGGGCTTGGGGTTTAGGCCTTCTTTCTTTTGACGGATGCCATGTGCTGCCGTTCGGGCTTAGAATTTGCAAGGAGGGTCTATGTCTGGGGGTTTCGTGCTCAACTATGGTTCAGGTTTCTGGGCTTTGTCTTATTCTCTTAGCACTCTGAATCCTAAATCCTCTGAACCCTGAAATCCCCAAAAAGCACACACACACAAGTAGGACAGGGATTGCTGAGCTTGAAGTGTTTCCTCGACTCAGGGCCGGCACAGCTTCAGGTGTTGAGGCTTGGTGACTGGTAAAGCAAGACTGCATGACCTCAACCTTCATCCAAACCTGTAAGCATAACATGTTATGTCAACCCTGGCAGCCTGAAACACCTCTTAGAAGCCCTCCAACCTGCAACCCCGCGGTGGATTTTTTTAACTTCTGCCATATGCTCGCAATACTCCTTCGAAATAACGGAATTTTGCGTAAATCCGAGGATATCCCTTCGAGATATGGCAAAACCCTCTGGGGCGGAGTGGTTCCTGTATTGCATCAAGACTTTTATACATTGCTGTAAGGCTATATCATACCAGTACAGTGTCGGATGTCCTCAATGTGCGGATCTAGTGAGACGAATTCTGTCTGTATACCTGTTTAGGGTTTAGCGCTCTGGTTTTCGGGTTAAGGGTTTAAGAGCAGCCCCTAGCCACCATACTAACCGAATGCTCTAAAGCACGAATAGCACCCCCAAGCCCTCTGCCTTAATACCTCGAGTGTCTCCAACTTTTCTTCGAAAAATCCCGAGAAGCCACAAACATGCACGGACATTTGACCTTCGAAAGCTCTGCCAAGCTCTTTCAAGCCTGAAGTTCCAAACCCCAAATCCGAGATCTCAAAACCAATCGGCCGCGGGAGATTTTTTTGCGCTTGAAGCCGAGTGCTTAGCTAGATTGCTGGGAGGGGTGGACCTTTGTCAAAGGCCCACAAAAGTATTTTAAACATTCTTGATTCTAAACCTGCACCCTCAAATGCAAACCCCGAAGCCGCTGAACCACTCGACCTGAAAGCCTTGAATCCTGACACCCTAAGCCCGAAACCAGAAAAGCCCCTCCCAGCAGAAACCAAACCTCAAGATCCCAAAGCCCATTGGACCTCTGCCAGGCCCGCCAGGAGCTGCACTGCAGTGCTACGTGCCTCCTGCAATAGCCAAGGCTTTTGGATTGTTGGGTTAGCTGTTCAAGGAGTAGAGTGGGAGGAAATGGTTCCAGGGGTCCACCGTTTAGGGCTGAGGATCAGGGGGCAAGGCTTCGGCGGCTTTCAAGTGCTAGGCGCTTAGGCTTTTACGAAGAAACCCTGCTGGCTGTCTGCATGTGCATGATTGCTTGCGTGCTTCAGGCACCCGCACAACCTGTGCTTTTCACTCCTCATCATCGTTGCTCTGGGAGAGCGCGATGACAGGCATAAGCACCTGTGGATCGATCCGGGATGGAGGCTTTAGAGGTGTAGGTTTGGGGATTAGGCTTCGGGGCGTAGGGTCCATTGTGGGTTCTCGATCTTCATACTACAAGCGACTATAGGATTTTGCGTATCTAGCCCGCAACCCCACAGCGGAAGCCCCCTCAGAGCACCTGGTCGCCGCAGTCGCCACCCCGGAGATGAGAGGCCAAGGCCGTGAAGGCCTCGATGGCGCTCTGCCGGACCTCGGAGGCTTTAGGTGCTTGGAGTTTGGATTTTGGGTTTAGGGTTTAGGGCTGAGAATTCAGGGATGGGGTTGAGGTTTTGAAGCTTCGGGATTTTGAGTCTCGGGTGTGAGGTTAAGCGAGGGTGTAACTTTGGGGTGTTCTAGCTAAAGGCTTTGAAGTTAAGGATATAGGGGGTAGGTTTCGTTCTGCTTCCAAGCTTAGAGTCTGTAGGGTATCACGAGGAAGAACTGTACCTTCGTGGTGTTCAAAGGCACATGAGCCAGGCTTTTCCTTTTGGAGTGAAGTCTTTCGCGGGCATATGCCTACATAATATGTACAAAGATTGTACATCCGGTTGAAACTGTGGCTTGGAAAGCTGGGGAAAGTGGAATCTGGATTCACTATTTGGTGGTGGGGTTACGAAGACATTTTGGGCCTTCGGAGTGTTGACAGCAACTTGAAGCGTGCAAGGCCAAACATGCTGGACATGTTAGGTTCTCACACGTAAAGTTTCGATAGGTGCAAAGTACTCCTTCAGGAAGTATACAAAACCTTCAGACAGATGTTCTGACCTCCTACCTTGTCTTCTCTCTCTATGTAAGCTTAAGATTTATTTTTAGGGCTTACGGGTTCAGGTTTAAGCACCCGGTTTGGTGTCACGCTTAGTGTTGGGAGCCTTTAGATGCAAAAACGCCTGTATAGCCCCTAGAGCTCCAAAACAAAATGGTAGCTTTGGGAGGGTAGTGAAACTCTAAGATCTGGCACCCTCTGCCAGAGCCGAAGGTCAGCTTTTGGGCAACTGGGCCCAGGACACCAAAACTTGAGGGCTTAGGGTTTGGGGCTTAGTGTTCAGGGCTTAGGCCTTAGGGTTTAGGTCTTCGGATTTAGGATTTAGGGCTGAAGCTGCGGGACTTGAGGCTCAGGTTTAGGGCTTCAACTTCTCGAACCATCAGACTTAAAGTCAAGAAGTGGACTCCTGTGAAATCAACCAAGATAAACAAGGGAAAGTCATCCAACCGCCATATCAAAGTATCGGCCCTGTGTCACCACATTGATACTCCTTTGGCAGGCATACTTCTGACCGCACAACACACACATGATAGGAGATTCTTGGAAGGAGTTGCAACTATAGCAAACCCTAAACCCTAAACCCAAGGAGTTGCAACTATAGCCTGTGGCCGGAATATAGCTCATCTCAGAGATGATTCTCCGTGCTGTCCCTCGCAAACACTGATTCCATCCTGGAAGGAAACAGGACGTCTTCAAGACGCCCACTTACCCAAAACTAGCCTGTGCAGTGGCACTCCTGTTTGGTCAAGGGCTCTAAATAATCCAAATGCACAACGAACTGAAGCCCTCATGTCACAAAACCCAACACCACAGCTAAAACGATTCGCCTCTTGTTTGGGTTGCTGTTTCCGAAACGGAAGTCCTGTGTTATCTTGCACAAACAAGTCGCATCTGCAGCTTTCTCCGACAGCAGCAGCTTGGCCTCTAATTTAAGTAAGTTTGTGGCTGAGATGTAGGGCCTGAATAGCAACCAATATCAGTACGAGGTCGATTTGAGGTACCCTATACCATGGTTACACAAGGAGCCTGGGACCACAACATCGGCAATTGTGTTCAAGGGATTCGGTCAACCAAAGTCAGGTCCCGTAACTTGTGGGGAAAGGCACAAAAAACCTGTACCTACTAGTCCTTCTGCAACCGCCGATCGCATCTAGAATTCATATGGGGGAGCCCTGTAAGTCACAGGTCAAAGAAAGGTTTGGGGCCCTAACATGGGCGCTTAGCATTGTTATGATGCCCGGCAAGCAGGGCAAAGATCAGATGCACGTCTTGTGTTTTCATGTTTTGGGCTTTCTCAGAACTATGGTCTACCTTGAAGTCCCAAATGGCTACCGATATAAAGGACATTCCATTCTTGACCGGAAACAGCAAGGTCTGCGCGTGCAAAAGGAATTAATAGGACTGTTCTTAGCCCTGCACCCCTAAACCTGAACTTAGACCCCTACACCGTGAACCTCTACCAGACTTGTGGGGAGTCGCGCAACCTCGAACTGTAATTAAACATTGCTGGAGTCAGAGTCAATCAGTAAGCTCCCTGAACTGCAAAATGAACTCATGCTTTGTTCAGAATCCGAGTTGCTTTGAAGCCTCCGTAAGCCTCCAAGGTGTTGGCCACGAACGCATTGAATACCCAAAGCGACACAACCAACTATGGTCCCTGTGGCAGTTTGCTTGAAAAACTTGTCGAACCTTCAGAACCGGCTTACCGTGCTGTGTACCCACAAGTACTCTCACTAATGACAGGCAACACAGGAAGAAACTTCAGCCCAAAGTCTCAGACCATGAGGGAACCTTAATCCCAAACCTGCAAGGCGTAACCCTGGAAGCCCCAAACTCTGCATCCTAAGCCCCGGACTGTGGGGAGTAACGTGCGCGCCACCTCTTCCATGCCGTTTTGGCTGTGCGATTTAGGGTTTGGAGTTTAAAGTCTTTGGGGTTTGGAGGTCGTTCCCTAGTTTGAAGCCCTCGATTAGGGTTTGGGGTTTGGCGGTCTAAGGTTTAAGGAATGGGGGTATCCAGCTTCAACATCCCAGCACCTACAGGCTCTCATCTCGCGTGGATTTCCACCACCGGACTTCAAGATAGTACTGTACTGCGCGCGCGCAGGTCGGAGGTATGATAACCCCAGTTGACGGTGAGCAGGTGCAGAGGAATGCAGATGACAACGTCTCCAAACAGCCGAGCAAGCGATGAAGGACCAAAAAGTTATTCCGATTCTTGCCATGTATCCTGGAATGGCTAGAGCAGCAACGATGTCAACGACACAAAGGCTAAAACATGTCCGGGCAAACGAAGAAGATACTTCAGTAGTAGGTTCTAAGTCAGACATGTAATGGCAGAACGTGATTCCCACTACCCTACATCTACATTGGTAGAGAAAGTTCGCGGAACTGCCGTGAGGTCTAGAAGTTTCAACAATTGGTCTTTACTACAGCAAAGTTGTGACGGTTCAGTGTTTCGTGCGCAGGGGCCAATTCTCGCAGAACGATCAGAAGGCCAGACAAACACCTTCCCGAAAAGGAATCCCTGCAGACTTCCAGAATTCTGCAATCCCAATCATGCAGGCACGCAAAACAATCCCTACAAAATCCTACACAATGCCCAAGGAGGGCCCACAAGATCCTCTGCATAACCCCTCTACGTATATATGTATCAACTGAGGCTTCAATTGCAAGCGAAGCTATGCACTCCTCTGAAAGGCGTCCCATGTTTCTTGCGAAGCTGGAGATGCTGTCTCGACGTGCCCATGGACGCCACACGGTGCACATCTTGGCCATGCTTTGTGCGATGGCCACTTGAAATGACTACAGGTACGCCATGGTCGCCACATGGTCCTGTACCCGCGACCTCATAATGTCAATCAGCTGCGCCTGGCCTTTTTGGCCGGCGGCGCCTCACTGACGGCCTGTGCAATCTGGGCTTTCAGCTCCTGCACCCAGCTGCTCGTATCCCAGTTCACGATTTCGTCGACTTTTGCCGGGGAAATCTCGTGCATCTCCTCAATCTTCGCGTTCAGGTCTGCGACGAGTTTGCCAAGAACCTTCTTGGCCAGCGGCTGCGTGGTGTCAAAGCACCAGAGAGCCAGAAGGTCCTCCTGCAGCGCTCGAACCAGATGCGACGGCACCTTGCGGCGGGGCGAAGGTGTCATCTGAATCAACTGCGGCGAAGGCCCCGAACTGGCCGAGGCAAACTCGGCAGCCAAGGACTCGTGGAAGATGCCAGCCGCAACCCCCTCCTGCAGCGGGGCAAACAGAGACACTTACAGACGCGTGCGGCTTACAATCGGGCACCCAGATTCTTGCGCAGGGCGACGAGGGTGCCCTTGAGCATGCTGAGCCCAATGGCTGGGCGA